TATATACAGACGACTATGAATCAACGGATGAAGGATCAACATTGTCCGGCCTGCGAATTGCTAGAGGAGGAATTGATGGGAAGGTTGTGTTGAGGCTGTGCGGGAAGGTTGCGAAGAAAGAGTGAATGAAAGGGAGGTTGCCAGTTATGAGAGGAGATAGAGAAGAAGCAGCGAGTTGTTGTGTGGAGGTTGTGGTGGTGGTGGGGGGGGGGGGTGCACGAGGAGTGAGGAGATTGAAAGAAAGGATTATGTAAAGGTTGTGGTAGAAATGTATTGAGGAGTGAGGAGACTAAGAGAAGGAATTGTGTGGAGATTGCGGTTGGAAGGTATTGAAGAGTGAGGAGATTGAAAGAAAGCATTATGTGGAGGTCGTGGTGGGGACTGCATGAGGAGTGAGGAGATTGAGAGAAGAGATTTGTGTGGAGATTGCGGTTGGAAGGTATTGAGGAGTGAGGAGATTGAAAGAAAGGATTATGTAAAGGTTGTGGTAGAAATGTATTGAGGAGTGAGGAGATTAAGAGAAGGAATTATGTGGAGGTCGTGGTGAGGACTGCATGAGAAGTGAGGAGATTGAGAGAAGAGATTTGTGTGGAGATTGCGGTTGGAAGGTATTGAGGAGTGAGGAGATTGAAAGAAAGGATGGCTGTGGTGGGGACTGCATGAGGAGTGAAGAGATTACGCTTGGCTGTGAGAACAGGTTGCGAGAGAGGGGGAATATATAAGCAGTGAGTCAGTTGAGAGAATGCTTCGAGATGCAGCCGTTGTGACCGTCAGCGGAAGGCCCGTGCGCGTGGCTTCTACTCTCATACAGATCAATAACTACGGCATTCGATCCGTGATTGCCGCGATAGTTCGCGAACACCTTCATAGTACCTTCACTAAGTGTCACCCATTTGTTTCCCTGTACTGCTGCTGCTGTTGCTGCGGCGGCTACCTGGTACTTGTTACTTGGGTAAGTGACTCGCTGAATCCGGCTGCGAAACTTGCGGCCCTGACTTGCGGGTTATCGCGAGCGGTTTCTTCGGCCCCGCGAGGCTCTATACTGGTGTTTTCTTCTTGCACGGGTACCGACCACCGCTGCGCAGGTAGCCGCGGAACGAACTAGTTACCAGCTGACTCTTATAAAGTCGGTTACGATTTACCTGTGATTACCGATTTACCTATAAGGACCTATTTACTTGTAATTACATTGCTGTGGAGACGACAAGCATGGCATGCCGACACTTCGACATTCGCGCGGGGCTTTTTGCTTTATTTGCATGTGCCAAAATGGGTTCTATGTGCATGTCCATATCTGCTGTGTAGGAAAATGGGAATAGAGCGTGGTAGTTGCGTAGTATATATATATATATATATATATATATATATATATAGGGTAGATATATATGTTTATAATCTATTTAACTTTATTAGCTGTGCATGTGCAGCTTCGCGCGCGTGGGTAAATTAGCGTCGTAATATATCAAGCATTTCACGCAAAAGTGGTCATGGGCCAGGTGGTGGCAGGGCAAATGGGAAATAGAGCGTGGTATTGCGTGTATATATATATAGTATATATAGATATATATGTTTAATAATCTTATTAACTTTATTCAGCTGGCATGGTCCATATGCTGCCTGGTGTAGGCCGAGATGGGAATCGAGCGTGGTAAAGAGTTTTGCGAGTAGTATATATATATATACTATGTGATATATATGATATATATATAGATATGTGTGTGTGTATATAATATATTAACTTCATTAGCTGGCATGTGCATTCGCGCTGGGTCAAATACGCCGTCGTATATATCAGAGCATCACGCCAGGTGGTCATATCCGATTAATGTTATTACTTCACATTAAAGGCCATCTAGATCTATTATTGCATTACTGCGAATTCACGATTTCATTAATATGATGTAGTTATAAGTAAATCGACGTGTAAAATCGGGGTGGGTGGGTGGTGGGGGGAATCCTTAGGGATCCCCTCGTGCAGCGGACACGCACGGGAGAACAGATTCGTAGAGGGGCAGTGTGTAGTCAGAATGCACTTCTGCCTGCGTGGTGGCATGTAATCTAACGAGACTCGACCAGATTTCCGTGTTCTGCGTAAGTGCTTTTCTTCGCTCTTTGATTTTTCTGCCGTGGCCTCTTGCTTGCGTTGAATCGTAGTGCTTTTAGCCCGATCCATTTCAACACAGTATCGATTCGTATGTTGACCACCAGGTGGCGCTGTTAGACGGCTCTTCACTGAAAGCAATCGATTGTACGTTTGTCACGTGACGACGCATTTAACGGCTGCAAAAAAACGGGTCGAGAAACTATTTGTTAGGAATGAACTTGGGATTTACACTTCTTCTCAATGGCATAGCGCAAGTTTGAAAACGCGAAATTTTACGCCGAATTTTGTGGAGATTCGTATCTCCCTCGTCACCGCACTATTTCGCATAGAATCCATTCATGGAAAAGTTTGACTAGCCTAGCGGTGGGCTATTCTAGGCTAGCTAACTCATATAGCTCTAGTGGTAAGTCGTCGTTGCCACTGCCACGGGTGCCACCGAAAACAAGCCAGCTGTGGCAGTGGCAACGAAGGCTGTAGTACTGGAGTCAGCTTATATAGGGCTGAGCTACGTAAAAGCTGCATCGGAATTGCTCAAACGAGAATCACTAAAACTCTGCCGTCACGTTGTGTGTTGTAATCCACTAGAGCCGTTCTAACAGTAGAGCAATAGCAATAGCCGGGGGGAAATCCTTGAACGCCTTTCGCACGAATTTCTAGCTTTTTCGCTAGCCTATCGCTGCTCTCGAAAATATTTTACACATTTACGATTTGGTGTAATCAAACGAGTTTACCAGCAATGGTTGGTGACGGGATAGCGGGAATCATAGCGGCTGAGTTTCTAGCTGATTGACGCTTCGTTCACACTCGAAGAATTAATTCATTTGTCTGAATATGATTGTGAGTCTACTACTAGCAAACTCTATTACCACGTACAGTCGCTCCGATTCGGTATGCTGCATTCGCTTAGAACGGATCCATGTGTTATTTTGCTTGGATTTACCGCTTCGCATTTTAATTCGTTGCCGTGGATTTCGTCGAAATTGTTCGTAACACATCTGAAAAACCGCTTACGCCCATTTTCTACCTACCACGTGCTCGCAGGTATCCAATCAGGAGCTGTTCACACTGTTTTTCGAGATGACCCGAGAGAATGAGGAACCGGATGTGGAGGTCGTGGCAGCTGTCCGAGGTATCAACCTCAGGTGAGACCATTCACAGAACATGTAAACTAAATCTAAACTAAACATGTATCTAATGATAACTAACGCGTTATTAGAGTATAATAGATAAATGAGCGAGTCAATGAATGAATGAATGAATGAATGAATGAATGAATGAATGAATGAATGAATGAATGAATGAATGAACGAACGAACGAATGAATGAATGATTGATTGATTGATTGAATGCATGAATAAATGAACGAATGAACGAGCAAACGCTCGAACGATCAACCGAGTGAAAGAATGAATAAAAAAATTGATACGTGGGTGAACGGACGTGTAAATCAGTGAGCGATAGAGCTCGTATAAGCTCGTGAATGAGCGAATTAATAAATAAATGATTGAATAAATCGCTGCTTCTGTGGCAATTCTCGCAAGGCGACGTTGCTAGCAACAGCGACGATGATGACCGCGCAGGCCAGGTAATCAGGTCTGCAATGAAACCATTCGCCACGCTTTCGCGTGAGCTGAGAGTGCGAGCGTGCGCGCGTGCGTGCGTAGAACGCGTTCCAACGCGTTCCCGCATCGACTAAACTCGTTTACATTCCCGCGCATGCGCACAGGGAGGCGTTGCAGCCGTTGTTTGAGAGGCGAGGCATTGATATGGACGCCGTCGACATATTCCTAGAGGCATCCAACACTCCGCTACCGCTGCAGTTCGACACATTCCCGCTAGGTGGCAACAGTCTACACATCAGACGTAAGCAGATCGTATCGGAGAATAATATTATAATTGAGATTTTTTTCATTGTCGTTTTTTATTATCTATGATTCGTTTGTTATTCGCGATCGGTTCTTTTCTGTTACGCGCAGACTGTGACACGAAATATAATTCGTGTTCATTTACAGTCGTTTCGTTATTTGAAAGGTGCAATGACTCGTGTGTTTAAATTGACTACGTCACGAATTTTATATGGTGTATATTTGTAAAGTTTTTGTTGCACATTTTTTACCTGAAAAGCAAGTACTAACGGGACTAAATGTATCCTCAAATTCTTACCCGATCAGATTGTTTCTCAACTAGTTAAAAATCCAAAAAACATGGGCGATTGATATATTGATCATAACATTAAATGCTTGCTATGGGCTATGTATGAGTCACAATTGTTTGTTCACATTGAGCGGAATAGCAAAATTTAAAGTATGATGCAATATTTTATACCATAAAAAGTGACCAGAATCACTTACATTTTGTGAAAAAGAGGACATCATTTTTTTTTTACTTTTACTATTTATGGTGACGTAATCACTTTAACAATAATTATGATGTCGATGACACCACGGCACGTGCTGCCAACCCTACGACACCCTTAGAGCTTTAATCACATTGCGACATCGATGTAATAATGTAATGTAAATAGCTGCTAGATGTGCAGGGTGTCGAGGAGGCGTTTGTGCAGTGCGAGCAATCATTGCCGCTAATTGACTTTGCTTCCGCTGGGAGGCGCTGCTGAATTGTGATTTCATCACGTTATCCTTTTTGTTCCACGCGTTACGAGCGTCAACAGCTACTGTCGCCATAGCGCTCTCGCACACACACACGCACGCACAAACACGCACGCACGCACGCGCGCACGCACGCACGCACATACGCACAAACACGCACGCACGCACACGCACACACGGTGTGTGTGTTGTGTGAGTGTGTGTGTGTGTGTGTGTGTGTGTGTGTGTGTGTGTGTTGTGCTGTGTGGTGTGTGTGGTGTGTTGTGTGTGTGTGTGTGTGTGTAGTATCTGTCTGTCTGTGTGTCTGTGCTGTTGTCTGTCTGTCTGTCTTATCTGTGCCTCGTCTATCTGTCTCTGTCTATCTGTCTCTCTCTTTCCTTCGATGGCCTCACTTAATTTTATCTCGTTTCCCCACGTCTTCCCTCCCCTCGTCCCTCTTCTTCCTTCATTTCTCATCGTCACAAAGCACAGAATCCTCTAATTGTTTGCAACTTAAATTAATCTTCTCAATTTGGCTTCTTCATCGGTTACCCCCCCCGACACACACACACAATCCACCACACCCCACACACACACACACACACACACACACCACAACTACGACACACAACACACATCACACACCACAGCACAACACACACACACACCACCACAGCACATCACAACAACACAACACCAGCACCACTGCACGCACAACACACACCACACCACACCACACACACCCACACACACACCCGCGCACCGCACAACGACGAGAAAAATTGTTCGACGTGATAGCTGTAAGTATACGCAGATAATTGGCAATCAGTATGCTAATGAGGGTATCATCGCTCAAAAAGACCATTCGGGGCCCGTGCGGCCCGAAGCGCCCTGTATGGCTGTTGTGACCGGCCACGACGACGCAGCGAGAGCAGAGCGGGCCAGTGTGGTTTTATGCAGCCGGTCGAATGTTTGGCATTCAGCTTTGTTTGGCAACGTAGCGTCATATATATACTATATATATATTATAATAATATATTATATTAATAGGGTTCATAAGATGACAAATTCGTATTCGTCCATCTCTAGACCTCACGTAAATCGCTGTTTTTTTTATAACACTTAACATTCACACGCATAGTCTAGAACAGATTAGAATCTCTCACCTTCACTTTATTAGAAGCACGTTAGTTACCCACCAATGTAAAACACGTAAACACATCACATACACACAG